TAATCTATAACCCACTAGATGTCGATCAAAAAGCTTTTAATCACCTCTAAAGGTTCCCTCGTAAACTTCAAATTTTGGCTCGAAACTTTGCACGGGGGCATATCATTATGAGAATAATTTATTGTGAAATTTTCAGATCTTTTCGTTGTTGTTAGTCTGAGATAAGAATATCGAGTCCGCCGATGTATATGAGTGACGTACAAGTATGCTTTTACCATAGGTCTATCTTAGGAAAGAAACGACCAAAAGATCCGAAACTTTCGCAATAAATTATTCTCATAATGATACGTCCCCGTGCAAAGTTTCAAGCCAAAATTTGAAACTTAGTTTTTCTAGTATTGCTGATGGGAATCACGGGACTGATGCTTAAGAATATCATATAACTGCAGTATCTCAGTCACAATAAGCTAGTGGCACGAACTATTTCAGCATATTCATAGCTTATTTGGATCTACATGATGTACATTAGTCCGACTTCAAAGCGCTTTATCACTTGAATATGCTCCCTCGTTAGTCAAACTGATGAGTTAACTAGTAGTACAAATGAAAGCAAAATTAAATAAGACAAGAACAAGTTAAATCTTATCCATAAGAAACATACAATACTTCAAATGTTTTGTTGACAGAGAAGATCTGGTTTTTCTAGCGATATGACCTGCGATAGAAAAAGAACTTTCATTTGGAACTGAACTAGCAGGCACACATCCATAACGACGTGCCATTTTGCTTAGTATAGGAAAGTTAATTTCATACTTTTTCCAAAATGTTTTAAATGTATGATCAGTTTTGTCCAGTGATTCGAATTTTGCGAATTCCTGTCGAAAGGTTAAAGCTTTTGTTTTCACTAATTCTTCTGATTCTTCGATCATGCCACATTTTGTACGGAATTGTTTTAAACGTTCTGCATTAGAAACAGTTCTTTTATCAAATACTTTATCATCAAGTTTATCAGAAGTTGTCAAGGTAGAGGTTGTGGATAGAGCCACATTCTTTTTCAGCTGTTAGTAATTTCTTGGCAGTCGCTTTGTTGATATCGTTCATGGAATCATATACTTCTGGATCAACAAATGCACAACACTATAAAAGAAAGAATACAGAAGGATAATAACTAGTGTGTGAAACAATAGCGTTCAACCTTAAAATCGATGGGATACGCATAACAAGTTTACTTTTGTACTACCTATTATAATTGCATTATTTATCATTAACGGATGATATGCTCATTATTTCCGCTTCTGTTTAATATGCTACTCCAATGATCAGGAAGTGCTGTTCTATTCAGAACATCCACTTCGAAATTATCAATATTAGAATCATTCAAATAAAGATGAGCAAATTTTAGTTGATTCTGACTACATCCCGCAGTGTCGGATAGAAGTGTTCAAATTGAATACTGGCTTGAACTTCAAAGCCCAACAGATATCAGTTGTGATCCTACTAAAATATTTTTCTGTCTCAACGAAGTCCTAATCAGATTTTCTTTACATGATTGACTTGGATTTTTTGTTCTTTTCATAAACTACTAATTTTTGACGGACATTTCGGCAAAAACTATATCTTTTTCAAATAATGAAGCATATGAATTTACACCAATTATTTGCGTTTCTATGCTCGCTATAAGCCTTTTATTATCATTGTTCTCTTTACATATGAAACGTTCAGATAACAGATGCTGGCTTAGGATAATCGATATTACAAAACGTCGTTTTTTTCAAATGTATCTCCTACATTTTTTAGTATTAATTGGTCATCTAACAGTTTCAGTGAATTGAAGGACATAAATGCATGTTGATATACCTCATGCAACAGAGCCAGGACCAAAGTATCTGTATTTATCCTACCTCTGTCACTTAACAAAATCTTCCCATTTAAAATGAATAAGCAACTGACAATAACATATATGGAAGAAAGATCTCATTGATACAGCGACGAGAAGCGTACTTTAACATATATGTCAATGCAGATAATAAAACAGAAGACGAATAGTTGCATGTGAAATTCATACTATGTATGTGGGACGTATAAACAAAACAATAAAACGAAGAATATGAACGAAAGGATATATTCGTATCTTCCAGAGATGTGAAAGACATATAAAGCTGATATCGATACTTCATTTACACAGATTCAAGCTTCGCTGTACCTTTCATACGTTTACTGGTTAAAAACAGAAAATGTTGTTTTCCTAGAAGTTTAGGGTTTATATTTTTAAGGTCTTACCAGCATTAAATTATGTTCTGGTGAACCAGATGGACGACGTACATAACGATCAAATGTTTCACATAACGCTTCTTTAATTTTTTTTCAATATGATTTGTTGTGCTGCTTTAAATATAAAAATACAGAGAATCAATAACATCATAAGCCACTGCGTATGATGGATATTTGCTTCCGAATAACATATCTGAACCTTCACTAAATAACAATAATATGCTTTAAAATTTTGATGATCTCCTATTGTGCATTTGATAGCTGTAACTTGAGCAACAGATTTTTTTGTTCTGTACGTACACCTTGAATCGAGGGCAACTGATTCATTAATTCATTTAAAATTTCTTGATAGGCGACGAATTTGAAGACCATTGTACACGTACTGTTCCATCTAATACGCATGTCAATAGATAAATGGTACTTGATTTCAGGACGAGCAAGTTTCTGAATAATGTCATAAAGAATACTAGACTTGGTGATGATGTTGACGATTTTTCGACAGTTATAAAGAACATTACTGATACTTTCAGTATTAAAAGAGTTATTTGATGCTCGCATCATATCGTTGTTCATTTCGTCGTCGGACGAAATGATATCCAAATCATCACGAGGTGCTTCATTACCATCTTCTTCATCGAAATCATCTTCTTCTATATTGGAATTCATTTCATCATCATCGGTACTATCAGCAAATGCTGATCTTCCATCTTCTTCATCCTCTTCAACATCCTCATCTAATCGGTCATCTTTATTCAATATGTCATTTATATTCTCTTTATTTCCGTCAATATTCGACTTGTTTTCTTTGCTATCTTCTGTTTTCCATAATTGAAGACCATTTTTCATAGTTAAGTTCAAACCATGACACAGACAGTACATTCTAACTCCAAATTTATCTGATTGTTAAGTAGCTGCACGTACATCACTACCGTTATCAGTCACTATTGCTGTGACTTTTGATTCAAGTCCAAATCTAAAATTCAATAAAACAATACTTTATTAGTGTATATCAAAATCCGGCTTTCTTTATATATCCATGTATGTGTATACGAACACATTATCTAGATGTTGTTGGAGAACGTTATGCGTAAAAGTCAACGTTCATAATAAGAACAATGATATCAGTTGTTGTAACGGTCACACTGATAAGTCAATCTCCTCTGACGTAGGTCAGAAAATTCTGGACATCACTACAGGCACTCCAAATTCAGTCTCATTCACTATGTAAAAAATGCGTAAAGTGACCCTATAATATCATTCCTATTGCAATTGGCGTGACTTTTACAAGATAGATTAGTTTTATTTAACATCTTCTCATTAGATCCTCTAGCTTTAGTGACTGTTTAACAACAAAGAATAATTAGATAATTACCTATTGACAGCACGATTTAAATGCCTTCTAATTCTTGTTGATAAATGTCTACCGTGAAACCGTCTAAAACTAAGAGCTTTCTATATATTTTGAAAGTACTGGTCAACATAGTGGACGGTGACATACAGATAGTGATGTCCTTTTGGACGTTTCCGTAAGTCGGTGGTTAAACAAACATAACATACACTATTTAATTCCTCCTGTAATTCTAACAATTTCTTTGAATATAATTTCCTAATTGTTCTTGTAGCCGTATTTTGGTGAGGATCAATATATCCCGGAACCGTTCTTGTCAAGAATTGCTTCATACCTAAATGAATTCTTTTTTAGAAAATAATTGTTGGAACAGATGTTCTTAATTAAAGTTTAAGACATAGCATTTTGATATGTTTCATTCTTATTTAACAGTGTTGCAATTAGAGTGAAAATAGCAAGACTGATTTACCTTTGCTATTAGACAAGTTATGTGATTTATGGAACTTCTTTCTCCCGAAGGATTCTAATTTATATTTCATTTTTATCTGACTGAACCAATTTTTTTTAATTTTTAACAATCTATGAACAGAAAAAACTAATTCCAATTGATATTAATGAATAATTGAGGAGTGAGTTATTTGTCAGATAAGTGACATTTGACATTCGCGTTTGAAGTAGTACTGCATCGAATAATCTAGATTAAAAGACTAATATTACAAAAACTACGATATCAAGTACAGATTCATTACTCTGAGGCACATTGTACATTTGTATTCCACATTTGATAATTTATCAGCATAAGAATGAATAATGGACACTTTCCATTTCTTTCTTGGTACTGGTTTATCAGCATCATCCTCACTGACATCACTCTGTGTATCGTGACGACGAGAAATATTTAATGTTTCGTCTGTTGACAATTCAGGCTTTGATTTACGTATATTATTCGGTCGTTGGTCTTTGAGTATTGTAAACGATGAACTAGAAGCTGTGCCGTCGACAAGGTTGGATATCTGTGAAGTAGCTAATCTTTTCATAGTAAATCAACTAATTTTGTAAGACCTTCTCTCTTTATATAAAAAAAATAATTGTGTTTTTTATACGGACAAAGTATGGACAAGTGATAATATGGTGATACGTCAATACCAAAGAACGAGATTGTTAGGTGGTGGTGATTCTTTATATATATATCTGTCTCTCTATCGTTATACGTATAGGTATTTTCTTTTCGTTGGTCAAGTTTTATCCAGACCCCTAGCATTACGGAAGCCCGGTTAAAAGTAAGGCTTTCGTAACGCGCTTTGGCTGGTAGAGAATCTGTGTGTGAACGTAGTAAAATCATCTAGAAAACGGACGAGAAATGATTAGTATGCGCTACAAAAACTTTCACAAGATAAACGTCTGTCTGAAGGAAACCTATTCTGCTCATTCAACGCAACTCTCTCATGGATGTTTTTAGGATACTGGCAGTCATTCACAAGAGTGGAAGAAAGTAATGACACGCTCTTTGTTTGCTATTGGCCAGCCTTATGCTTCACTCTATTTGACTTACGAAAGCATTCTCTCCACAGCATTCTGAATGACTGCGACATCTCTGAAGTTCTAACACAGGGAACAACACCGTGTGACTATGTTAGTGTAGCAGCTGGAAGGCGACGTTCAGTTCACTCAGAAGAACTGTTCGACCACTTCAGCTCGTTCAAAAAGAACTGTTAAAAAAGTTCAGCTCGCTCGAAAGAACTGTTCGATCAGTTCAGTTCGCTGAATATAGCGTTTTGAACAGTTCATCAGTTCTGAACGAAACCTGAACTTGAGAAGGTCTATTGTTTAAATGTTTTTGTTATGAAAGTAATCTGAAAATTGCTGTTTCCAGATATATCTCATTTAAGTTCAGACCCTACTTTAGTCAGGAAATATCGAATATTTCGTATCTCAAGTATGGTCAAGGTCGGATGATATGAGCCACTGGTAACTTTCATTCACACACAATATGGTTTTACTACATTTGTAATGCTGAAGTGGAATGCGTAACATTTTAAGGAAAAAGCCTTCCTTATGTTCAATGTATTGCGGATGGAGCATTAATGGGATCAGTTATTGGAACATTAATATTTTTATGGCTCGTCGCACCTTTAACATATCTTGTCTGTTTAACACCAAAATTTCAAGGTAGTGTAGTAATCAACACTATTAGCAAGTGTCCTTCATATATAATGTGTTATGATTATGTTGTTGTTCATTTAGAACTTCATTCTTGGAAATCAAGTTGTTTAACGAGTATCTCACCTCATTTTAATTCGGCTGATGCTGCATATGATAATTATTTCCAGGCTAGCCATAATAATTCACAATTACAAGACATGTTAGCGGCTGTACTCCGCCTATTCGATGTTGGATCGCAGAGTTCGCAACTAGACAAGCTATTCGATCAATCGTAACGAATTATTATCAGTACTGTTCCACTTGATAGTAAACTTGCACCGTGTAAACTGCGACCTGATGACATGTTAGCGGGTGTACTCCACCTATTCGATGTTGAATCGGAGAGTTCGCAAGTAGACAAGCTTTTTGACAAATCATCCCCACCCGTCACCAGTACTCTTTCCACCTGATAATAAAGTTGCACTGTGGCGGTATCGGGCTGATGACATGTTAGCGGGTGTACTGCACCTATTCGACGTTGGATCATAGAGTTCGCAACTAGACAAGCTTTTCGATGAATCATAACCACCTATTATCAGTACTGTTCCACTTGATAGTAAACTTGCACCGTGTAAACTGCGACCTGATGACATATTAGCGGGTGTCCTCCACCTCACGTCACTTCAATTCGCACGATCGATCAGATCTATTTTCGTTCTCGTTGTTTTTTTTTTAATAAAAGTTAAAAATTTATTAAATTTATCGGATTTTGTGGATTATACTTGTTAGTTATACAATATCAAGTATCCAAAAC